TTGTGCCATCTCTGTGCTCTTCATTCCAAACGGACAGCATTTCTGCTCCAATACTGTGCAGATCCATGAGACACACCTACCAACTCTTCTGCAAACACCACAGTATGTCCAAACCCCAGCTTTCCCTCCAGAGTATGTTTTCTCGTGTTTTTGTGATAGGGATAGGCCAAGATTGGAAAAGCTGAGGTTTTCCACATCTTTCATTTCTTTTTCTTCTACATTTTACTAGAAAAATAGTGAAAAGAAACCAGGCAGTGCCTTAAACACTGCTCTGAAGTCTCCTCAGTTACATATCCAAGTTCATTACTTAAACATTCTACTTTCCATAAAGACTAGGACACAGTTTGGGCAAGTTCTTTGCCCCTCTGTAACAAGGGTCATCTTTCCTCCAGTTTCATTTCAGCCCGAGACCTCACCAGAAGCAGCTTAACACTGACACCTCTGAGGTAACAGAAGCTTCCCCCACAGTGCTCCTCCTTTCTGAGCCTGCACCAGAACTGCCTTCAAGGTTCCTACTTGTACCCTCAATCATTTTGGGGGCAATGCAGCTTTTTTGTTTTTAACATGCCTCGAAACTCTTTCCCACGCTATTATCCAGCTCCAAAGCTGTGTTTACATTTTCAGGTGTTTGTCACAGCAAAATTCCATTTCCTATTACTAAAATCTACTACTTGTTAAAGTTGCCATAATAAAATACAATGACAGAAATACCAGAAGTTTATTGTCTTATACTTCTAGAAGTCCAAGATGAAGGTGTTGACAGGCTGCTTCTTCCGAGTTCTCTCCTGTGTCCTCACAGGGCCATCCTCAGTGCTGGCCGGGTCCTACTCGCCTCTGTTTGCGAGGATACCAGACTTGATTAGGGTCCACTCTCATAATCCTATTTTAACGTACTATGTTTTTAAAGACTATCTCCAAATACAGCTACAGTCTGAGGAACTGGGTAATAGGTGTTCAACACAGGAATTCTCAGGAGCTATTCAGCTCCTCACACCCAGGATCTGTTACCGGGCTAAGTGGGCCACTGGTCTTCATCATGCTGGGACACTGGAACGGCTGCGATCTAGATGTGCTCCCCAAGCTTCCTGCCCTGAGGTGGTGCTGTGGGAAGGCGACTGGATTACCGGCGTGTCAGGACTGACTTGCTGATAAGAACCAGGGTCTGTTGGGAAGACAGCTCCTCTTTTCCCTTTCTTTCTAGTTCAGACCCTTCTACCATGCCGCTTCTGCCTGCTGAGCAGGCCAAAACTGAAGCTTCTAAAATGTGAGTCAAAACCAACCTCTCAAAACTCTGACGATGGGCTAATAACTTAATAACTTTCCTATTTTTGCTTTCAATAAAAGGAAGGAGTTGCTGGTAAGTCTCATTTGATTATCTTCACCAAAATGTGACCATAATTTTACTGTATGTTTTGAAAAACACTTAAAGACTTGAGTAATGCTATTGTAACAAACTTCCTTGCAATTTCATCTACTTACATGAATACACTGTCAACTCTTACGTTACAGAAGAGATGAACAAAACATTCTAAACTGTGTTTCATTCCATCGATTAATAACAATCCTACACAGAAATACAAATTAGTGAAGGAAAAAAGAGCTACACTGATCTCATTAAGAAATCTATTTTCCATAAATTTACTAATTATAGTTAATGATTCTGATCAAAATTTGTAACGTTTATATTGTTTTGATCAACTGGGTGCTAAAAACTCAGACCTGAAAGCGCTTTTCATGTTAGAACAAGAGAGTCCAGAAAATGACACTGCAATTTTAACCCACATGTGCATTTTGTTAGAGAAATTTGAGGAATAAGCTAATGTGGGAGGAAACTGAAAAGGAAATAATGAATTCACAGAAGAAGAACAATACAAAATGTTCAACTCTTAAGACAGTGGCTAATGATGGGTTCCATGTTGCAATGATATTCAGTCTGTACTGCATACTTTTAAGTTTAAAACACTATGATTTAAAATATTCTGCAAATGACATTCTTTGGAGTTTCTAAAACTTATGAGAAAAAATTTAGTATCACCTTAAAAATGCAGTGGTTATACACACAATTTTCCAAAATTCACCTAAGCTAAACTGTGTGAAGGCCTCTGCTCTCATGGACATCAGCTTGTGCCCTGAAACAGATACACCACCTGCTCCAAATGCCTCCGTGCAATCAGGAAGGGTAAACACACGGCACAAGAGTATTCTTCTGGCTGATGTACTTTACTAGAAAGAACACTCTTCCTTCTACCTCTTGGCAGGGGGAAAACTGTACATTCCCACATTTCCTTATATGTAACTATCTGATCAGTTTTCCTTAAGAGAGTATATAGGCTTTCATAATACGTTAATACACACACCACAAATTAAACAGGGCACTAAACATGCATCACTGTGACTCTGAAGACAACAGCAGAATTACCATGTAAAGATCTGAACTGGCCCGGGCTCAGGTAGCTGAGTTGCTGCCAGGTCTACTGCAGGACATCAGGCTCCTGAGCTGAAGGGGCCTTGGACACCCTGGATCCTCTCACACAGCATTGCACCTTCTGTAGGATCCCTTCTTGAGCCCAGGAGATGGCAACAAAATAGAGTACCAGCCCAGAGTTTCTTTGGGAAGACTACTGACAATGTGCTTTTTAACTCTCCCTGTATGTATTCTCTCCCTCGTCAGCCATGGGCATTTGAGTCATTTGCCAAATGCTGTGCAATGTGATGGGACTCAGCCAGTGGCTAGCAGTGACAGGGCTGCGTGGTCAATAACAGACTTCAAGGAAAGGACAAAATCCGGGCTAAAACACATCAATCTCATTCAAGACATAATAACGCCTACAACTTTCACGAGAATACTCAGCACAGTGCTGGTTCTTTAAAATACTAAGAGGGCCGGGGATTTAGCTCAGTGGTTTCGCCGCCTGCTGCGCAAGCGCAAGGACCCAAGTTCGATCCCCGGTACCAAAAAAAAAAAAAAAAAAAAAAAATTGAGTAAAGAAGCAACTTCATTCAATAAAATGTTTACTGCTACTCTTTTGCACACAATTCAAACTCATTATAATGTATAATTGTTTAAAGTATTCATGGCCCAACAAAAGAACTATTAAAAATGCCCTCATCAAAAAAATTATTTTTTGGGCCAGGGATTTAGCTCAGTGGTTCCGCCGCCTGCCTTGCAAGCGCAAGGACCCAAGTTTGATCCCCGGTACCAAAAAAAAAAAAGTAAAAACAATTATTTTTTCTTTTGTAGTGCTGGGACTGAATCCAGGATCTGTTTGCCAGACAAGTGCTGTACCACTGAGCTACATCCTCAGCCTTCCTCAAAGCTTTAATAAAAAAAGAACTTTCCATGAATCCTAAGTTTGTATAAAAGTTCAGTTTTGCTGGTGGACTGAGGATAAGAGCACAAACATAAGAGCTCCTCTCCAATTCTCATATTCTTTATTTTTCTCCGTTCTTTTGTTTTAATCTTTCTGTGCATTTGTGATTTGCATCTCATTTCCTTTTGGAAATAGCTGGGTATAATAATAAATGGCAAGATAATATATAAGATAATGGTAAATAGCAAAACAGTAATATTTAAGACCCAAGTATGATCTCAGCAGGCATTTTCTTTGGACTTCACGTGGGCAAGACCATGAGGAAGGGCTATCTGTGCACCCTGACAGAACCTAGGTGCTACCACTCATGTTAAGTCACTGGTCACATCGTTTACTGCACCAGACAGGAAGGGTGACCAGGAAGGCACTTACATGGCACACAACTTGTCATCCCATGCCAGAGAGCAGACGAGACATGAGCCCATGATGAAGGGCACAAGCCAGAATTCTTTACTGAAAAATTTCATTTTTCTTATTATAGTGTTAGATCAGAAACTTCTGTATGATTTTACTACCGCACATGATGAAGAATCACGGACGTAGAAGGTTTACAGGTCAAAAGGCTCTCCAACAAAAGGCCCAACAGCACCAATAGGTGTCCTCCCAAGGGCCCACAAATGCGGGGCCTGGGGACCTGGGACCACAGGCAGGGAGCGCCGCAATGTGGGGAATCTGCAACCAACACGCCCTGTACCTGTGGCCTGGGAGAAATCATTGGCTTCATGAAGAAGCCACGACCCCTAAGACTGCTGGGTCCAGGGACACAGACATGGCCTGGGATGCAGCAGGGAACCTCCTCATGCCGAAAGCTGCCCCAGGAAGGTGTGGTGAAGAGCTAAGTCAAACAAAAAAATACGCAGAACACATTAGCAAGAATGGTGTCAGGAGTGACTGTCACCACCAGGAACTCTTAAGTAGTTCGCCCCGGTTGTGTTTCTACAACACCTTCTTCCTCAGAGCCTCTGATTCCATTTTCTGCCTCCCCAGACACCAGAGAGCCCCAGGTGGCTGTGTAATGTTTCCCATAAACATTCCTCCCAGGAATCTGAGGATCGACCCAGCTGAGAGAGCCAACTGGCCCTGCGAGTTAGGGGTGGGAAGCAGCAGCTCCCAGGCTACAGTTCCCACTGAGCTGGGGGGAGACCATACAGCCGATGGTGAACACATAGGACAGGCCCCAGGGATACAGGCTGATTTTCAGAAACTGAATTTGCAAAATATGACACTACAGTGCACACATTCATTCTCTTAAACAGAAACAGGTAATATTTTAGCTCTTCTGCTTTTGGGGTCAGGCTTTTTACTCAAGAGGACTGTTTGGGATATTAAAGCTTTGTCACCGCCTGCCACGTCATAAGCAGCCCAAATATACACCACCTTGAGGCTGGCCTACACCTTCCTAATTAAAGAAATGTTTGCTTACAATTTAGTTTCCATAAACCAGTTTCATAAAACCAGGGAGTAAGGCTGGTGCCTGCCCCTGCCCCACAAGGAAGCAAAATACAGGCTTCTGTGTCGCCACAGCTCAGTCCCTGTTGTGCCAGCCCAAGATACATTCAGCCCATTCATTCACTCCGTACCGCTTCCTTCCCAAACAGTCTCACGGAGGCAAGAAGGAGCCCCACTCACATGTCCTCCACTGTGATGTCCTTCAGGATCTGGCAGTAATCCACGTTCCACACGGCCTGGTCATCCCACACCTTGGAAGCCAGCAGGATTGCCCCTAGCACAATCCGCTTCCAGTTGGCTGGACAGATATCTATCTCCGCGTATGTTAACAGCCTCTCCAGGTACACCTGTGAAGACAGGCAAGGCCAGAGCTGAAGGCCGTTCTCTGCTACACATCAGCACACTCAAGAAAGTTCTACATCTGTTTAACTCCATCTCTCTAGCCTTTTAAACAGGGATTTATTATCTGATTGTATTATCTGTAAAAGGCCAAAGGGTTTAATGAATCTGATGAAAAACAGGCTGGAGGTCACAATCTACACTTAGACAATGTAGATCTTTAAAGGCAGTGAGTCACAAACAAATCCCAGGAGCCACGAGTTAATTTCTCACTCCATCAACTATTATCAACCCCAATTCAACAAATATTCTGGCAAAGAGCACAAAGAATGTGGAGGGAAAAAACCCTGTAGTTTTTAAATCAACAGGTTATTTTAAAATTAATCATTTTGAGATAATTTTATATTCACACTTAGTGCCAAACCCAAACATTTATTATTCTGGTAAAGTGTATACAACATGACACTACATTTAGCCATTTTCAAGTGTGTGGTTCTGCAGCACCAAGAGATGACACTGTTCAGAAACCGCCACCATCATCCAACTCAGAACTCACCATCGCCCCCAACTGAAACTTAACACCCACTCAGCAAGGCTCACTGAGCCCTGGCAACCACTGCTGCACTTTTTGTCTTTATAAGTGTAACTGTTCTAGGTACTTAGGTGGCTAAAATCACACAATAGCTGTCTTTTTGACTGGTTTGTTTGATTCAGCATATTATCTTCAAAGTTCACCTAAACTGTGGCGTAAGCCAGAACTTTCTTCCTGTTTAAGGCTGAATGCTCCTTTGAATATACCCTTCTGTTCATCCTCGCATCTGTCCATGGACATCTGAGTTGCTTCCTCCTTTTGATTGTTCAGTCATGCTGCTATGGACACTACTGTACAAATATGTGGGCAAGTCCAGGGTTTTGACTCTTTTGAGTTCACATGCAAAACAGAATTGCTGGATTGTATGATAATTGTTAGTTTTTGAGAAGCCACCATACTTTCTTCCACAGCAGCTACACCATTTTGTACTCCAGCAATGCCTAAGCGTTCCAATTTCTGCATATCCTCCTCAACACCTGTTATTTTCTATCCTCTTTTTGGAAGAGAGGGAGACAATAGTCATCCCAATTGGTATGAAGTGATATCTCACTGTGGTTTTGATTCAATGACCCTATTTTCAAGTAGGTAAAATGAAACAAAATAATATAGGATTTCTAAATTGGCAAAATTTGACTTGAAGACAGCCATCAGAAGTACCCACAAAACCCACTGCGCTTAAGTTGGGTCATAAGGTAAAAATGCCTTTAATTTCTTTTAGAAAAATCTGTTTATTAGAATATTTTATACTTCTCTAAATTAACTTACAGTTTTTATCAGATACATTTGCAAAGTAGAACTCTGAATGAAAGAGAAACAAAATTCGACAGTCATCATCCACACTCATAAGAACCTGCTTTCTAAAACAATGAAACTTACTTAAACAGCACTATAATTACTCCTAGTAAATAATGTCTATAAATCTTCAACATTACAAAATTTTAAAAAAGATTGTGAAAGAAAATGTTCAATACATAAAGTACAGGTTATTTTAGTTAAATTAGAGTATTCATGAATGGGATAGAAAAGGTTTGGGGGGCACAACACCAGGGGCTCACGGGGGCCTCGGGAGGAGGCTGGACTTGAGGTTCTTGGGACAGAGGGTGATTAACATGGGCTGGGAGACAGCGCTGTCACGGTGTGAATGCGTTAAGTGGCAGCACCGGGCATGCCAGAAGAGACTAATAATGCAGCAAAAAGATCACGGGGAGAGGATGGCTGAGAGGCACTTTCTGAAGTGGACTCCAGTACCACCTGCTACTTAGGCCTCACCACTGTGTGCCAGGCGCTGTGCTAAGCGTGGCTGCAAAGTGGAAGAGGCCTTGGAACATTATGAAGCAGTCCTGACAGAGGGAACCAACGTCTGAACTGGGGACATGACAGAGACAACAGGCATGCTCCAGACACCTGGAGGCAGCCCCACTGGCCACAGAAGGTGGCTCCTTTGGGAGAGTCCAGGCTTGTAACTGGTGTAGCTGGACAGTGCTGCCTCTGACACAGAGGGCCACAGGAGGAAGAGGTTGTGAAAGGTGACCACAGGTCTGACTGGGTGTTTTACTCAGGAGGTAATGAAATGGGCAACTTACTGCTGCGTGTATCCTAAGAACTGTTTCTAGAAAATGGAGGTTAATGAGTGAGAGCTACAGAAGTATTCATTTGATTCCATGTTACAAAACTGTTCCAGGCACTTGCGTGGAGGATAAAATTCAAACTCATAGAAACTCAAGCCCATAAACAAAATCCGAATGACGCTGAAGTATCTCAGGATAGTTTCATTGCCTTCTTACCTGTCTTTCCCATAGTAAGCCGCAATTTCCCTGATGACAAAGAACTCATCTTACTGCACAATGCCAGGACAAGGTGGTACTCCCTGCATGCCTGCCTGCCCAACATGACAAATGAGCAAAGGGTCATCCACACAGGTGTCACTAGGGCAAGGAAGCTCAGGAGAAATGTAACAGGAATTTCACTACAAAATGACCAAAATAATGATCTGCATTCAGGGAAGAAACTATACTGACTCACTGGTTTGTGAGACAGATCAGTGGAGAACATGAAGTCCAGGGGGGGCAGCTCCAGGGAAAAAGAGTAGCACTCTGCTGTGACAGAGAGACTTTGGAGCAAGGCCCAGGAAGACATCAAGTGCAACATCCTTACTGCACTGTGAGAATCGTGGGAGGCTCCAAGTGTCTTCTATTGACAACAGCAGCATTTGGTCGTGACAACTACAGGTCAAAACATAAAATATATCACTCAGCAGAGCTCAATAACCTTATCAATTTTTGGAGATTCTAGCTCTTAGTGGCATTATTTACATTAAATTTGAGCAGAGAGCAAGTTAAAGTCTTAGATGATGATTATTTTTTGGTACCGGGAATTGAACTCCTGACCTTGTGCTTTCGAGACAGGCACTGTGCCACTGAGCTAAATCCCTGGGCCTAGATGATTTTTATTTGTGCAAAGATCTTAATTCTTCAGACAAAGATATAGATGGCACCAGGGAGAATTTCAGCTGGGCACCGACCTCAGGATACCAGACTGCAGTTTTACAAAGGCTGATGACAAACTCTTCTCATTCTCCACTAAGGACAGGATGAGAACATGCACAATAAAAGTGGATTGAGAGTACAGAGGTGAGACTGGTCTGACCTAAGCCCCAAAGCTTCAACCACCAGGAAAAAGAGGTTATAAGCAATGTCCTCCCAAATCCTGAAGACTCTACTCTTTGTACACGAGTGAGGCAAGTCTCTCAAAAAGGTGTCTACTTGATTTTCTCCTGACTTTCTTAAATTATTTTAGTTGACAGACATTAATAAATACACTAGATAATATTTAATGTTTGAAAAAAGCCCACCCAATAATCATCTACCACATGTGATATTCCATGAGGGCTAACTGAAGGAATGGGACACTGAATTATACCTCATGTCCGAGGGAAAGCAGTATTTATAATAAGGTCTACTTAATAGCATGCAATTTAGCAGCATTTGCCAATAAAGCTAAATTCAAGGGTCAGCTGCAATTTCTTTAGTAACCCCCCCCCCCCATGTGGGTATTTTAATTCTCTGCCAAGTAAAATAATGTACAATTGGTTTTCCTAAACAATATCCCTAGACATTGCTAAGGGGACATTCTAGTACAATTAAACTCATGAAGGCTGTCCTAAGAAGTCTTTCTAGAAAATGGAGGTTAATGAGTGAGAGCTACAGAAGTATTCATTTGATTCCATGTTACAAAACTGTTCCAGGCACTTGTGTGGAGGATAAAATTCAAATTCATGGAAACTCAAGCCCATAAACAAAATCCAAATGATGCTGAAATTATTCGTCTGATTTTAAAGAATTATGCTAGGTTAGTTCACTGTCTGAATCCACACAAGGTACAATTCCCTTCTGGGCTTTAATCCTGTCTTACAGCTGTTTGGTTTAGCTGACTAGAGCATGTTCTGGTGTGGCTTAGGTCAAGAGCATAGCATCAAAGCTTCGCAAGATGAGTTGGTAGCTTCAGTCCACTCCTAACTGTACCCTAACTCCAAGTAACTATTTCATAAGGGGTACTATTTTGTAGTACAAGAATAATTACCCAAACTCTCAGCATTCAACAAAACTCTATCAATTGCTACTTTTGTGGCAAAAATTAAAGGAATAATTATAATTTCCTATTTATAAAATTTCTGTGACTTTCACATTTAAACTCATTTAGTATTTGATGCTGTAAGATTTTCCAGTACCCTGAACTACACATTTACATTATGAATGTAAGTCAGTAAGTTACTGGTATCTCTGCAAAGATCTTCATAAAATACATGCATGAATTCATCAATATCCTGTCCTGCTGTTACATTATTTAGTGGCTTGTGTCTCCCAGAATTCACAGACTGAATTTCTAAACCCCAGTACTCAGACTGTGATGTATTTGGAGATAAAGTCTTTGTTGAGCTGATCAAATTAAAATGAGGTCATAAAGCTCTAAGGGTGGACCTAGTCATAAAGGACTGAGGTCTTTCTAGCAGACAGACACAAGCACAGGGAGACACCATGCGAGTACAGAGACAGCCATCTACTGTGAACCAAGGAGGCCTGGAACAGATAGATCTGCCTGTCACAGACCGTAGCATGAACCAGCCCTGCCAGCATCTTTATTTTAGACTTCTGCCCTCCAGAACTCTGAGACAACAAATTCCTTTCCCTTCCTCCTTCTCTTTCCCACTTCCTTTCTCTCTGCTCTCTGTCCCCCATTTTTTTCATTGTTTGAGATAGGGTGTTACCCAGACTGGCCCAGAACTCCCAGATTCAAGTGATCCTTTCCTCAGCCTTTCAAGCACCTGAGCTACAGGCACATGCCACCACACCCAGCTAAATTTCTGTTTTTTAAAGCTATGCAGTCTGTGATACTTTGTTATGGCAGCATGTCCAAAAA